GTCGCCAGGATCACCGACCAGGGCCTGCAGTACGGTAAGGAGCGATGGCTGTGGGCTGGACTGGCTGACCCGCTTGGCGCCAGGCTGCTCCGGGTTCGCGGCGCACAGACAGGGCGCTCTTCCTCCGGGCTTGTGGCCTTCCGGCCAGGCGGCCCTGGCTGGAACTCTGGCCTCATCACCCAACCGCTGAGTCGCTCAGGCACTTCCTTGTCTTAGCTGGGTTCCCGCCAGTCAACAGACACAAGGATTGGGGTGCAAGTAGTTGATTTGGGAGTTGATTTCAGGACACACCGTAGGGGAGAGGCAACGGGAGATGGGAGAGGGCAGGAGGGCAGGAGGGGGATGTTATTAAACCAGCTCCCACCCAGGGACTGCAACAATTCCACTGGGGAAATTCTTGGTAAAGTTTGAAAATATGTGCCTGAGAACTAGAAGTCAGAACGGTGGTTACCTCTGGCCAGTGGAAACCGGGAGAGTACGAGGGAGCCTGCAGGGTGCTGGGAAGGTGCTGCCTGCCTCTCAGCTGGGGTGGTGGTTACAGGTGTGTATCACAGCTTTAAAATGACCTGGCAATCCCTTACGATTGGTGCCCTTTGGGTATTTATGTATTTTATACCTCCATTTTAAAGAATAGGAGTATTCTTTAAAAGTAGGAGTATTTTTTAAAAGACGCCGAAACAATGCATCAGAATTCATCCATCCATGGAGCAAGGGATCGGGGGTATTTATACACTGCTCCCCACAGAACCGATCAAGGGAAGCTCCTCATATTCATGGAGCCTCGATTGCCTTATCTATTAAATGGGGTAATAACATTCCCTCAGGAAAGGTTGCTGGGAGCCCAGACTGGCTGGGGGCAGAGAAGGAAGTCAGGGAAGTCTTCCCTGGGAGGGGAGGTAGAACAGGTAAGGGGGAGTTAGCCAGAGACAAGGGGTAGCACTCCGCACAGGGACCGGCAATGCTTTTGCTGAGGGAGGAATGCACGTTGAAAAGAGGCAGACCGCTGGTCAGCCGTGTACGCATGTCCTCCTTGAGGGCAGAATCCTGGCTCCCTCACATTTCAGAACAAACAGAAGGTCCTGTTTATACTGAAACCCTAAATCAAGCAAAATTCGCCTTTGTCCCTTCCGCGTGTGAATGTGCCATGTTTATGTAACCGGCTCTCTGGCGTTGGACTTTTTGGTCCTCCCAGTGTTTTTACTGTGTAAACCCGCCTGGCTGTTCCTGGCATTGCTGAGTGCCTGCTGTGTGCCAGGCACCACGCCAGGGCTGCCTTTGATCCTCCCAGCCCCTGTGCGCTCTGCAGGGGTTTCCTTTCATCCTCGAGCACCCCAAGGAGGAAAGTATCATCACTGCGTTTTGACAGATGGAGAAAGTGAAGGCTGAGGACTTGTTCAAGGTCACCCAGCTAGAAAGATGCCAAAGCCTGGATTCTATCCCTAAAATCCTCCTGCTCAGGCTAGAAGACACTTAGCTGGGTTCCCACTAGCCAACAGACACAAGGATGCAAGTAGTTGATTTGGGAGTGAATGAGAACCACCCATGAAGGAACGACAGCCGCCCACACAAGCACATGGCCGGCCCTTCTCCCCTCGTGGAGTTGCTGACACAGGCATTCTGTTTCCGCACCATGAAATGGGCACGTAACCCATGTAATGCCGTGATATCCCCAGTGTTTCTCAAGCCACCAGGTATGCAGAAGGGCTCCATAACCCATAACTGGAATGAGCGTTAATAAGGAAGTCGGCGTCTCTCCCTGGGTGGTGGGAGCCTCTGAAGGGATTGGAGGGGAGGGAGGCGGGCCGACTAGGCTGACTCTCAGCTTCTTCCTGTCCGCAGTGGCCAAGGAGGGGCTGGTGGCCCTGCAGGGTGAGCTGCATAAAATTATGCTGCCTGACTTCACTGGGGACTTCAAGATCAAGCATGTTGGACGTGGGCACTACGAGTTCCACAGGTGGGGCTCCCTTCTGCTGGGACCCCGAGCGGGCTGGGCAGGGGTGGGAGCCTGGAGAGGGAGGGAGAGCCCGAGGATTGGGTCAGAACCCGGACAGACAGTGGCATAGTTCCTTCCAAGTTCAGAAGGAAGTTTAGGGAGGGAACTGGCTCCTCTATTTGCTCATGAAACAAATATAAATGAAGACATACTGACTGTGGACCTGAGCCTCAGTTTCCTTACCTGTGAAATGGGGATGACACTGCTACCTCCTTTGGGTAATAATAATCCAGGCTCCAGTCTGACCCCTTGGATTTAGTCTGGAAGGGAAGATAGACCTTAAACTTTAGACACAGTACCCAAGGGTTAGAGCTGAGGTTTGAACATCTGGAAGAGTCAAGGAAGGCTTCCCAGAGGAGGTGGCATTTGAGCTGAGTCTTCAAAGGATTATTATATACTAGAGGTGCGATGCACGAAATTCCTGTACGGGTAGGGTCCCTAGGCTGGCTGGTGATCAAGGCCGATCAGGGCCTCTGGCTGCCAGCCGGGGCCTTCCTTCCTTCTGTGCCCTGGTGGTCAGTGCACATCATAGTGATCGAACTCCCAAGGGGACACTTTGCATATTAGCCTTTTATATAT